TATATATATATATATATACAGTTACTGAATAATGGATAACAGGTGAATTAAGGAATGTAATGTCAGTTACGTAGATTTATCAACACTAAAAAAAGGAAAATTTGAATTGTAATGTTGATGCTGTTTCTCTATGACGAAGATTGAGATAACTGATTAAGATTAAATAAATTGAGTTGCCTGTTTATTCCCTCTGAAAGATTAGTTCAAAAAATCAATTTTTGACCAGAAATATTGATACTTTTCGAACGTTTGTTTACAGGAGTTCTTAGGTTAGTCACAAGAACCAAGAGTAGACACAGGTTGTCAAGACCCATATCGCCAAATTTTAAACCACGAAAAATTATAGTTCTAAGGTATTTGGGGAATAATGGTGGGAAATAGACATGTGTCTACCCTTTAATGGTGGTTTAGTCCAATACCAGAGAGTAATACACCCAGAGTGAACCGTTGTATCCTATTCGATACAAATCCAGTCATGACCTTTGCGCAAACGAGAACTTCCATGTTATTTACTGTTCCCTGACATAAAGAAAACATACTCCATCACAAGTTTCGGTTCGTGATTTGAAGATGAATCGTACAAGACACGTGCTTACGATATATGGCGGTAGAGTATTTTGCCAACTCTGTACTCTCATCTTGCCACATCATGCTGGTCCAGTTGAACAAATGTAAAACAAGAAGAAGTAAACTGTCTGCATTATTGTCGAACAAGAGTGGATGACAAACCGCTCCCCTGAAAATATTCCCGGACAATACTTCAGGACGGTGTACAGTACTTTTAGCTCGGTCTGTGTACCCCACGTTATCCTTAAGAAATGGAATGGAAATATCCTTAAGTTCTGGTTCTAGCTCAAAAATAGCTTTAAGGGATAAGATCATTCAAGTAAACCTAGTTAAGACAAACGAAGACGGAAAATGCACCCTTTGCATACAAGACGAAATATTCCCGTAATCAATGCCTGTAGCAAGAAAGCACAGACATATAGTAATAATAGTAATAATAATAATAATAATAATAATAATAATAATAATATTTATTTCCATTTTGTTTTACAGAGATAATGTTGATCTTTGTAAGATTTCAGGTGGAGAAAGTGATCGATCTCTCGAGACATTTTCTCAGGGGTTCTACTGTTTCACCATCATTCAAATAATCGAACACTGGGCGCTAACTAAAAACTATCGCCAACTTCATCCAAAACTGTAACCAAATGTGACCGAAAAGATTAAGGATTAAAATCAATGGTTAATCCTGCATGTTAGGTTAGTATAAACTCGTTTGCAAATTCGTACCAATGCACCTCCAAGAAGCATGCAAGGAGATTAGTGTATTTTTAAATTACAATGACAAATCATAGTGAAGCGTATCGCGTTATGCGTCGGTTAAACGACGGTAGAGTCAATAGAAGAACTCAGAGGTCACGTCAATCTGTTTTATTCATTGTTCTGAAGTTCCAATGGGGCTAACCGGGATTTGTGGTGTCGGCTCTAAACAAAGAAGTAGATTAACCGTTAAGCCACAGGCTCCTTACCCTTCGTGAGTTGGCGAGATTCATAAGTATTTCAGGGCAGGTCGAACATGCTTCCGCATCTCGAACAGAAGGGAACTAGACACCAAAACCCCCCTGATGTTTGGTTTACGATCATCTACAATAGCTTAAGTACTATTACTATATTCTGTAGTTATGTAATTTCTGATCAGTTTAGTAATTTCTAAGAGTATTAATATCTTGGCACATCCGTCCGTGGAACTGAGCAATAATTTAAGGTTTTCTTCCATTTTCAGAAGCTTTCTTACATTATCTACAGCAGGAATTCAAGAATGACGTGGGAAGTGAAGAGTGTTGCACCACACTTTGGACAGGGTTCTGTATCTGAATTCTCGAATAAATTGCTGAAATTAAGATTGAAATGACCTATCTTTAGTATTGTAATAACAACCTGTTCTGACCGCTTGTGTTTTCCTGGGAGAGCTGGGTCAAGAATGGATTGACTGACTAAATGGAATTTGGAAATATTCCACTTCCAGTTAAGAGTCCCAGTAACTGGGGTCCTTTGCAAACTCTTTGAAGCCTGAGAAAGTGCCTTGAATATGGTTGTCGGCGCATGCAAATGATGTGGGTAGATATACGTCTGCATCTGCTTTCTCTTTGCCATTGATTTTATTGCTCGAGGCAATATTATTTCTATTTGGGTTCCATTTGGAACACAGTTCGATTTTTTAGACTCTCCTGAGGTCTTGAATAATTGGAATGGAAGTGAATCTGTTGTCAATGGCTCTCAAAGTTCATAATATATTATTTTTATTGCCTAATAGATGAGTGAAATAAATGTACACCCGTCAACTCCGTGTTCTACAGCTAGTTTGAATTAAAACGAATTGCAATAGTTATTTATGCACCATGGAAGTTACAGGGGTTCTAATGATCGAGTGACAACAAAATGTCATAGAGCATTTTGTCGCCCGAGATCATTAGAACCAGTTAATGTCCGCGGTACATACATAATTTAATTTAGATGACATAATTTTATTGGTCAGGTTTATTTATTTACTAATTAACTGGATTTTAATTTGGCTGGGCGTGTCATTTCATATTGCCCTCCAGAAGATAATGCGTAGACTCATTCAATTGTTGTACTCGTAGGCTTCCGCGGCGCGAGTTCTTGACTTTTTGGCTGTCCGGATGACGCCGCGTCGTTGGCTGAGAGGCCGAAATTTCGCCTGTCAAATCGTTGGATACTTCACTTTCGCTTCTTCACATCGCTTCCAGTCACTGCCCTGAAGAAGCCTACGATATAACAGGCGAAACGCCGGCTTCTCAGCCAACGACGCGGCGTCACCCGGACAGCCAAGAAGTCATTCAACTGTTTTCATAGTCCCATTGTACCCACGATCCTCTCGAATCAGGTAAGTTTTGCAGTGTATATCGAGCTCCATATCGAAAGCAATAAGAAGCAAAAACGTTTCAGTAAAAAATAAAATTAAAAATATTACGAATTTGCACAACGCAAATAAAGCTCCTTAACATGGGACCTGGCGAAGGCGCCACGCTAGTATAGAACACCCCCGCTGCGGCAGGTGTTAGGTGCGTTGCGGCCCGTAGTACTTGCATGGTATACACGGCACTATCTGACCAGATTATTATCGACCCAGGTAAGTTATGCAGTGTATATAGAGCTCCGCATCCAATGCAATAAGCCATAATGTGTAAGTAAGAAATGAAATTTTAAAAAAATACGAATTTGCACAACGCAAATAAAGCTCCTTAACATGGGACCCGGCGAAGGCGCCACACTAGTATAGGACACCCCCGCTGCGGCAGGTGTTAATGGTGCGTTGCGGCCCGTAGTACTTGCATGATATTTAGATTAGATTAGATTTATTAATAATTCTGCAATTAAGTGTAAGAACTTGCTGGCAGAATACACTAAAATAACATTACAGAACTTAACAACTATACAAAATCTACAAACTTTACAAAATCACGTGAACATTTCACCGTGCAATCTTTCATAGAACTTCACTTCACCACACTTCATTTCGCCGCACTACAATACAGCGAGCTGTAATGTCATTGTTACTCACTCGTTTCTCTCAGTTTCACAACGTCACTGCACATAATAATAATAATTATTATAATGATAATGACAATGATAATAACAATAATAACAACAACAACAGCAATAGTAATAATAATAATAATAATAATAATAATAATAATAATAATAATAATAATATGCAAAAGTCTCTAATTTTGAATACATGCCGTATTGTCAGAAGTCAGTAAAGCAACCACAAACCAAACGACGACGAACCACGAAAATTGCAGAATTATTAATAAATCTAATCTAATCTAAATATCATGCAAGTACTACGGGCCGCAACGCAAACCTTCAGTAAAGCAACCACAAACCTGGTCATCATTCCTCTGTGTGGTTGACATACCGACCAGTAGATACTGTGAATAATGTAAGATAACAACAACAACAACAACAATAATAATAATAATAATAATAATATATAGATAATATAATAATTAATAATAATAATATAGATAATAATAACATAATAATAATAATAATAATAATAATAATATCACGGCACTATCTTAAAAGAGTTCTTAATCGATTCTGAAAGTTATACAATGTATATCCAGCTCATATCGAGAGACAAATAACAAGCTATACCATTACCAGTTAAAAATTGTAATGCTTCAACGAGCAACCAGAAGGTGAGTTTCTATTCTCGCCTCCCACCACCCAACACCAACTTCTCCCCACGTTCCCACCGAGGGCGATTGCGCATGGCGCCAGGAGCGATTTCATTCTGCGCGTCCGTGCTCGCGGAGGGGGAAGGGAGGGGGTCGAGCGAAGCACCCGCCCATAGGGGGGGCCCGAACGACCCCCTTCGGCCGCGAAAGGCCCGTCATGGCGCACGCCGCGTGTGTTGACAGCTGTTGCGCGTGGCCCAAGGGCGGGTACTGCGCCGTGAAATGGCAGTGAGAAGTGCGGCTGCCGGCAAACGCGACGACGTTTGGGGGGGGGGATTGTCATGCGTACGCTAACGCGCAACGCGCGATATGTTGGAACGGGGGGAGGAGGTTGGCGTTTGGGGCCAGCCCTGTTGTGGTTTTTTGTGTGTCTGTGCGCCTTTTGCAACAAAAGGGGTGTGACGGGGGGCCAACGTTGGCGTTTGGACAGCCCTGGCGCGGTTTTTGGTATGTCTAATGCGCATTTTTCAATAAAAGGCTGGGGGGCGACAGGGGAAGGTTGGGTTGGGTGTACTCTGCGCCCTATTCTAAAACAAATGGCGGGACGAGCGGGGGCAGGTTTGGGCAGCCCTGTGCGTGTTTGGTGTGTCTTAGTGCCCTTTTTCAATAAACTGAGACGGTGGGCAGGGATGGAGTTTGTGCAGCCGGTGTGTTTGTTTTTGGTGTGTCTGTTGTGCCTTTTTTCAACAAATGGAGGGCGACGGGGGGGCAGGTTGGAGTTTTGGGCAGCCCCTTCGTGTTCTTGGCGTGCTGTGCGCACTTTTTCAACAAAAGGGGGCGACGGGGGTAGGTTGGCGTTTGGGCAGCCCTGCGTATTGTTGGTGCGTCTGTGCTCCTTTTTCAACAAAAGGAAGGTGAAGGAGAAGGGTGAAATATCTTATTCTTCTCCACTTTAAGGATAAGTCTATGACCTGTTCCGGGTTCTAAGAATTCTATCTCTTTAGGGGTCTACCTGGATCTCTTCAGCCTTGAGACCTATGCTTCAAACACCTGCTTTGGAATGCGAGTCTTTCCATTTTTTTAGATGTTGTAACCATTCCTGTCTGTAACATTGTACCTTGTCATTGATTGCTAGAACGTTTAATGTTTTTTTTTATTAAGGGTGAAATATAAGGCGTATAATACGAGGGTCGTTCCAAAAGTAATGCGTTCCATTTACTTTTATGACAACTATAGTAAATAACAATCTTAATGCAATGGGTTAGAACAAAGTTTGTGGCCCTCGGTGGCTCCTTGGCGTGCTCGCTTTCCACGGCGCAACCCTGGGTTCAATTCCCGGCCGTGGGAATACTTTAGCTGAGCTCTTTCTTTACGAATGTCCCAATACCTACTGCTGTGTGACAATGAGAAAGTTCACCCTACGGTTAAGAATACCAGTATACACAGTGGTGGGATGTACATATTTGTGCTAACCATACGAACCCTTTGTATCCCATGGCCGAGAGGCTGGGCCACCGCTGGTCGGCCATGGCCCTATCAGATTGTCGAGAACAGGACAGGATAAAGATTATTGAACACAACACTAATTTTTCAATACAGTCCCCCTTCTTATGTATTTTCTCTACCGATGAACAAGAGCCTGCATGCTGCCATCGTAAAAATCTGTACCAGCGGAGGCGGGAAATTCTTATGAAGCCATTCCTTGGATTGCCGTTTCGTTTCTGGATCATTATGGTGACACCATCTGTGGTCACCGCTGATTATTCCATCCAGAAAACCGCCACCTTCAGTTTCGTATTGGATCACAAGTCCCTCACAAACGTCCATTCGGAGCTGTTTGTGTTCCGGTGTATGTGATCGAAGGACTCACCTTGCGCACAACTTTAGGAAAATCAATTTACGCAAGAATATCTCAAATGCATTGCAGCCAATATTCAGCGCCGTACACACTTTCCTGATCCTGATGAGTCTATTCGCGTGGATCGAGGCGCTCCTCATTGCGTAGTGTGGCAGCAGTACGTGGATGACTGGAACATGGCTTGTCTTTCACGTCATTCGTAATTCAACTTGGCATATACATGGATTAAGGCAATTAGGGTAGGGATCTCAGAAATTAAGAGACTGTGCGCAGATTGCACTGTTTCCTATGACACTCCATTCACTGCTTTCAACATTATTTACGTTAAGTAAATAAAAAATAAATAAATATCTTGCCTACAAATTGTACAAGATTATTCACTTCCCTAGGATAAACTCTCCACCAACTATTTTGTGCGAAAAACAAATTATTCTTTAGTTGTTTTTTCCCTAGACGTAGTGACTAAAAGAACATTTCGTTTTATTAATTTTTAATTTCGGAATCCTATCCTATGTTTTCGAGGAGCACTGTTTCACGCTTATCTTGATTCTAAAGGACTCACTTGGACACACAAGAGATCCGAACGAACCATTATTTTTCTAATCAACCATTCTGTGCGATTCACAGAATTGAAAACACGGCATTTTGTCATTGTACGTGGTCAGAAAAACTGGTTTTTCTTCCTCAGAAAGCGTAAAATACAGTGAAATGTAGTGAATCATTATAGAACTATCACTGCTGTTCTCATTTAAAACCTAACTAAACATCCGTAGTTCATGACTGGAGAGTTTATCTGCAAAATATCTTAGATATTTGACTCAACACTCAAAAGGTGTTTTTTGCCGGTGTAGATAATTACTTTGTACAGCACATTGAGATCAACTGAAATGAAGACATTGCAATATTTTTTCCAATTATAGGTTTCGCAACTTTCACATTAAAAAAACACCATTTGCGTTAAAGAGACGCGCACGGAAATACTGCAAGTGACTACCTACTTGCAAAGGGTCGTAAACAGCACATTACTCACCCCTGGTCACCGCCCACGGCCCAGCAATGGCGACACCTCTTAATTGCCTACGTGCCAATGGCCCACTGGCAGGGTCGCAATGCCTGTTACGCACGGAGTTACGTCTGGACATTACAATGGGACGAAGTGATCACGATCATTAATGGAAGGACAACGGCGCCGGTTACGTACCACAACAGCAGCCGCTGCTTATAGTGTCGGGGGATTAGATGAAAGGCTTTCACTATGTTTACCGCGTTGTCCGAGGTTCTGCTCGTTTCTTAAAATGGCTAAAGTACTCTTCACAGCCTGCTTATTTATTTCTCACAATCACATATTAAATGGGAAATTATATTCTATGGTGCATTGCCACCTCACACCATCTCACATCACCTCGCCGTCCTTCTTCAGTCTGTTTTTGCGTGCTCCACCATGCCCCGTTCTCTCTTGTTCTCAATGTCACTTGTTTTGATCCACCCGCTTAGTTCCACCCTGTCCTACCAAGCCCCACTCTATCTTGCTCAGTCCGTTCTCGCATTGAGTGTCCTATATATATATATATATATATATATATATATATATATATATATATATATATAGAGAGAGAGAGAGAGAGAGAGAGAGAGAGTTGCCACATACGTCCACTGTTATGGTCATTAGCAGGACTTGGATTCTGATGACATGCCATCTTTTCATTTGTGCGTTCTAGCCGTAGTCGAGATAAAGTTTAAGCTTCCGTCTGACAATAATCAATCACGAAATTTAGGGGCTTTAATTGGTTCGCAAGGAAATAATCACGTGATCAATTATAATAGTAATAGCAGTTGTCAATAGTAGTAGGGAATAATTATAGTAGTTGTCATTGCCAACAATATGACGTATTTCAACGGCAACTGTCGATGGCTCAGCTGTCTCCTATACTTATTTCATTCTAAATGTGTACGACACCGCAACCAATATGCAAATAATTATTTGATTCGAGTGCTGACGGAATCGGTTTTTAGAACAATTATTACGCGTTGAAATTATTCTGAAATGTGAAATTAAATAAATAAATAAATAAATAAATAAATAAATAAATAAATAAATAAATAAATAAATAAATAAATAAATAAATCAATAAATAAATAAATAAATAAATAAACGCAGACATTTATTCACCTTCCTATTCACAATTCTACGCAGGCTTTATCACTCATCCCGGATGCTTAGATCATAGGCGCAATCCAGCGTTCGTCATTTCATCCCACGCGTTGTCTCCACTCAGCACGCACTTCCGCGCGGATCGACCACTCACATACACTCACACTCACCACTCACATACACGGCTCAACAATGCCTTGCGACTACCCACCAAACCGGGGACAAAGCTGGATGGTGGTACGGTAGAAGGCGCTGGTGTCGCTGGGTGCAGCTGCAGGTTCGGCTCGGCAACTATTCGCACATTCAAATTGGCTAATTTGTGAGAAATACAAAAAGTTTCTGTTGGTACATTGGCAGCCAAATTTATTCAAATTTGGCGCCACGATTCTAACACCTCAATTTAGTTACTCTTTGAAGGCATTTAAGAAGAAAATATCCCACATTTCAAACTTTCCGCCTTCGAGATAGTCTAAATTCGTCTAAAAACCTCGCGATTCTTTCACAGTTGACAAAAAATTCATTTTTATACAAAGCTCTGTGAAATCGACTTTAAACTGCTTCGAAAATTCATCAATGGATTGCACCACTTCTGTGACGAAAGATTTACCCATTGTCAGATTTTCCGGAATCCAATTTTTTCCACATCAGACGCGACGAGCTCGGATTTTTTGAAAATCAGAAGAGTCTCGACCATTTTCGTAGCGATCGTGCAGAGAAGGTGCAGAGGAGATAAGAAATTTGCGTTTGGGCGCATTGAAAGTTGGTGGTACGTTGGCAGCAAGCAATTATTATGTAGTTTCTTTGAACTAGCATTCTAAGACGCTGAGCGAAGACGTAGAAAGCATGAATGACGTGAAATTGGTAAGGATAACTTTATTTTCGTCCAGACAGGGGTAGCCATGGCAATCTCTTAAATACTCATTGATTCTTATGGGAAAGTAATAATCTTTGTCAATTACGTGTCGCTTTTTCAAGACTTTTCTCGTCTGATGAGAACACAGAAGGCAATGCATAAAACTTCTCGTCGCAGTTTCTGCACATGCTCTCCCAATCATCTAAGCAATATTTCGCAGCCTCAACAGTGTCTTCTTTATTCATAATATATACATATATGATATCTCTGAAGAAAGCGCGAACATCGACGCTACCTTTAGTCAAATTACGTGCTAGCTTGTGTTCTACGAACCCACGCAGCAGCCAGGCACGTTTTAAGCGTCGTTGGCAGCAGTTCGTATTTTAGTTCCTGTAAGAAGGTGCGCAGGAGTTTTCCACCACGTTATATGGGGGTTGAAATGTAGTCATGTATATGTATTTGAAGATTCATGACAAGCGGTTCGAATTAATATATTCAGGTACATAGTTTGTTTCTACGTGGAGTGTAGCGAGGGGTAAATGTAGGCACTATCTTCTCAAGGAAAATACTAATACATAGAATGTGATATAAAAGTATTTCAATAGAGAATATACCTCAAGTCTTATGAGTAAAGCCTGGACACTGAGGCATTTATTTTACTTAAAATAGGCTAACGAAAAGGCATTTATTTTTAATATAAAAGACAGGTAAATATACATTTTTCTTGCTAAATTAGAGGGTAAAGCCACTAATAACATTAAAACATCACAATTTGGAAGTAATTAGGGTAAATAATTAATAATTAAAATGATTCACACTTTGATGTTAATTCTAAAAGTTACATTAGCACTCACATGCAAGGAAACTTCCTTTTCTTTGTTAACTTGATTGCACATGACTATCCGGTATAACGAATATGAATTTATTATACTCGCAATGCTGGGTCTATTAATTCTGTTGTGGACACACTTTTGAATTTGATATGGTTTCTGTGAAAACGGAACTATCGATTTCAGTTTTCGCAAATGTGTAATCTTCAGAAGGGAAAAGA